ATGTGGAGGCAAAATATGAAGATTCATACAGCACTATAACTGAGCAGATTAGTTCGTCAAAGTACTTTTTTTCAGCCACTTTAACCAAATAATTACAACAGTAACAGCACCTGAGCTGTTCGAGCATTGACGAATTCGTTGATTTCGTGTGGTGAAAGTTGCTTGGCGAGGTGTTCCAAGATAAGCGATACTGCTTCGCTGTTGCAACTCCGTGCTGCCACGTGCAATGCGCTTTCGCTCCTCTGCAAAAAAGCCTGTGAATTTAGTCGCTGTTTAAGTTAAATAAAAAAGCTGAAAGCAAAGAAAATAGTTTCCTCCTAATCAGCAAGATACCTCATTTTTATTTTGGAGTGGCAAGTTTCGGACAAGATAATGGTGCTGAATACATACCTATGAAATCCTGAAACGGCTAAAGCTTTGCCAAAGTGTTTCTGTTGGGAGACCACCTGGGGTAATTATCTTTTCAAAAGACGAATGGAACATCAAGAACACTAACAAAATGACCATCAGGCGATGCTGTTTTAGTCATACAACAGGAAAAACACAGAGCGATGTAGTTGACCAATATGTTATCTTCTTAGATCCTCAGAATTTGAAATTGCTTTATTTTCATTATTTCTTTCTAAAACAAAAATAAAGCGGCTGTGCGGCAAAACCATAATACGGCTACTTTCCAAACTCATTCGTCTGTTATTTTGAGGTAAAAAAATTAATTTTGTGATGCTCCCGAGATATGCACGGTACCGCTGATGTGATTTGAGGATCGGCGCCTTCACTGAGCAACAGTTGTATCATTCCGGGAAGCGGATTGCTTGCAGCAATGTGCAATGCCGTTTCACCATCATTTCGCGCAGCATTCGGTTGTGCACCACTTTTCAGGAGCATCATTGCGCAGTCAATTGCATCCTCGGTGGTCAACGATGCGGCAATGTGTAGCGCTGTTTCGCCGATTGCACCTCCATGAATATCCACATTTGCACCATATCCGAGCAACGTTTCCACTACAGATGCTTTCCCAGCTTGTACTGCAACGTGTAAAGCCGTATAGTTATCCTGCAAGCACGTAAATGTATTTATTATCAAATATCCTTAGTTATGTAAAGACGATGTTTTGTTTATCATCTTCGCGAGATAAAATTTCAGTTCGGAATCTTCGAACTGTTACTAGATGTCTCCCATCATAGACGAAATCTATGAAGCTTAGTTCCAAAACGATTTTAAAGTTACACCCAGAAACGCTCCACGAAGACTGCGGTACAGAGATCGCTGCTATAGTCCATCTGAGGATTTGCATATTGTCTGTGTACTCGTCTTACATCGCCATGTCTTGCCCGAATGCGTACTGATATCATTTCCCCGGCTGATTTTTGTTACAGCACTAATTCAGCTCGCGTTGATATTGTGCTTCAAATTCTGTGACCCTATGACTCTTTAAAATTCTCGGTGATTAATCGTCGTATTATCTTCAGGAATTTTACTGATTAATTTCGTAGACAGGTTCCTTCGTATCACTAGCCACATACAAAGTATAACTACTGATTTCATTAATATGGATGAAGTGATATGAAAATTTCGGAAAATCCAGCGAAAAATGCTTAATTCTTAAAAAATAGTGCCAAATTTTGCTAATTTTAAGCAGAACATCAATAAGTGAACAAACCCTGGTTCGAATGTCGACATTGGTTCCTTTGGAAATGAGCATACGAACAACATCATTGAATCCGGCAGCTGCGGCGCAGTGTAGGCTCAGTGCACCTGGAATATTCGTTGAAAACTAAGCGTATTTTGAATTTTGTTTTGGAATGAGAAAAACAT